CTCATTTTTGATTAAAGAACAAATTTGAATCTCCAAGCCGGGCAACCTCCTATGAGGTTATCAAGTACGCCAGCTTTGTTGGTACTGCTTTGGCCGGGACCTGGAGTACACAGATAGGGTCGTTAGCGGGGTTGGGGGGATGGTAGCCCCACAGCCCATGTCCAGCACCTCACGGTCTCTGAGCACAGCAACCTTGACATTGAGCACCTCAACTTGGAAGTTTCAGACGATGTGCGACCAATAACGAGTCTGAGAGAGTAGGATCCTCACTGGAAGAGCCTCCCAGCATCGGACTCCTACAGTGCTTTTGTTGAGGAGCCCCAACTTCGGATTCACGGCCCAGCTTTTTTTGGGAACTTGGAGGGCCAGGTCGAAGTTTGGGGTTTGGGGCCCCTTTCGCAAGATCCATGGGCCAACATGCTTGGTATTGTCGGCAAATCGGTTCTGGGAACTTCCTTACCGAGTCGCACTGGAGGAGTCAGATTTAGGTTCAAGGCCTTTAGGGCTTAGGGCCTAAGCCTTCATGTAGAACGGATGGGACCGTCGAATGGCTGTTGGTACAGGATCCTTGGGAGACAGGCTGAAGCAAGTTTCAGCAGACCCACACCGGATCTCCTGGCTGAGCTCCATGAGTTTGGGGTCTCCCAAGGCGTTCGCTGCCGCCATCCTCGCCATTTTCGCTCTGTCTCTTCCATGGTGGTACAGCAGCCACGCTTGTGATTCTTTGTTGTTTCTCCTGAAGGTTCGAAATCAAACTCCGAGAATTTAGTTCGAGAGTGTGCTCGTGGTTTGCTTTCCATGACCTGGTAGTTGGAAGCCACCCTCTCGTTTGCGACATTTGAGTAGTGCAGGGTTTGTGTTTCGGACCTGAATGTGCTCTGCATGCCACATGTTGTTTGCACAGATCTGTTCCATCAGCCATTGCCGACCTATGAACTCTGTCTTGTTGCATGGCTCCCTTACAAATCCCGGGTTCTCAGAGACACGCAACCTCTAGCCTCTAACACCGCAAGACTGTAAACCTCAAACCTTGGCCTTTGAGTGGATGTCGCGGTGCCAAAACGGAAGAGAATGAGTCTTATCTGCAGTGCAATCTCAGCTTAAACAGATCCCACATGAACAGGGTGTGCCCCCACGAGTCGTTTTGCTCGGTGCCAGAAACGCAGCGATAAATATCCGACTGCGGATAGACACAGGGTCGGAATATGTCGGAATTAGCTTCCTGAGCTGCTGCTGCTGCTGCCGCTGCTGCTGCTGCCGCTGGCTATAGCATACTATAGCACTTGGAAGTATTTAGTTGCATCCACGGTGAGCATTGGGAGCGAGATGTGTACGACTCCAAGCAGCATTTTGTCGCTGCACAACCTTCCTCCACGCGCGAAGAGCTTCAGGAGTGGCACCGAGACAAGTCAGCTCCTAGTCGCGGTGGGGGGCTCAGGCAGTTGCTCCTTTCAGGCTGGTGCTCGGGGCTTTCACTGCGCGTGCGCGCGTGTGTGTGTGTGTGTGCGCGCGTGCGTGTGCGCGTCTCTGTTTGTCTGTGTTTGAGTGTTTCTGCAGGTGCATGTAGGGTTTTGCGAGTCTTGGAGTTTGTCCGATTTGGCCTGCACTTTGATGTCCAGGTTCCAGGGATTTAACACTCTTGGGAAGTTGTGGCATTGGTGTTTATGACACTGACAAGAAAACTGCAAACCTGTATCACGCATGTTGGGCGGAGAGGTTCCCCCGCAAAAGGACTTCAATTCTCAGAAGGCCCCGAGAAAAATTGGCAGCCTTTCCGCAGCATCATGAACCTTGGGGTTACTATGGCGGCATCGACGTTTCACCTCGCAGTTCGTGTATACATGTGTTGAGTATGCAAGCATTCATGCCGTGTTTACAGCCAAAACTGTACGCCAGCAGCAGACGCTTTTCGCCCATAGTGGCTGACTTGGCCGAAGCAGCTCCGCAACTAATCATACACACGCGGACAGAGAGACAGACACACATGTACACACAGACAGACAGACCGACACAGACACAGACACAGACACACATACACACAGACATTGTAGGCACACGCAGAAAGACAGACAGACGGACAGACCAGACAGCCCAGACCGACAGCAGACATGCACAGACACTCCAGTACCTCAAACACACACAACACACACACACACACACGCGCGCATGCGCGCACGCACAAGCACACGCACGTACTTGCTCGCGCGTGCAGGATAAGGAAAATCAGGTTTAGAATGCGGGTCGGAATACGGGTTGGAATACAGGGCGGAAGAAGGTTCCAGAGGTCCAGGCCGGCTCAGGCCCAAAACCCAAGGAATACGGGTTCGAAAATGGGTCGGAGCACGGGTTGGAATACGGGTCGCGTGTGCGTACATACGTACATCCGTGCAGGTTGCATATGTATGTATATATATATATATATATATATACATATATGTTTCATATATATATATATATATATATATATATATATATATATATATATATATATATATATATATATATATATATATATATATATATATATATATATATTTATATATATAAATATAAATATATATATATATATATGCATATGGATACATTATATATGTATACTGTATACATACATACGTAAATACATACATAAAATACTAACACACATAAGCGCATACTAACACTGCGCCTCCATACATGTCTACATCCATGAAAACATCTACCTCTCTGATTATCTGTCGGATTATCTTTCTGAATATCTACCTCTACGTCCCTCTACTTATCCCTACCTATGTATTTCTCTATCCTTCTGTCTCCGTCTATCTAGCCGTCTATCTGTTGTCTATCTATCTTTCGATCTCTCTCTCTCTCTCTCTCTGCATCTCTCTGCCTGCCTGCCGGCCTGCTTGCTTGCCTGCCTAACTATCTACCCATCTATATCCATCTATCTAGCTCTCTGTCCCTCTATCTACCGATTTATCTATCTGCCAAACTCTCTATCTATCTATCTATCTATGCGTCTAGCTATTTATAGCTGTGCATGCACCTTTTTTCTCGATCGACCTATCTATCTAGCCACCTTATTTTTCTGCTATCTAGCTATCTATCTGTCTATGTAACTGCCTATCTATCCATCTGTGTACGTATCTATCTGAATAATCCTGAATTTTTGTTGCTGCTGCATGGGCCGAAGGTGGAGGCCCCTCAAAGAATCTCCCGCAGGATTCCCGACTCGATGGCACAGAGACAACAATGGCCGCCAGCATCACATTGTGCCGCCCTTGGCATTGCCGGTAGCATCCGAATCCAGCTGCTGCCTGGCAGCCATAGTGAGAAGACAATGTGTGATCATTCCCGCAATGTTGGCGAAAACGGCCAAGTATTGCAAGCAGTCGTGGCAATCATGGCAATGCAGGGCTCAGTCTCTGGGGATTGACAGATCGGAGGGTTGGGAAGAGACTGGGCGGGCCGGGATTTACTTGTCTTCGCATTTCGGGTTTCGGGGGCCCTGAAGTCAACAGTCGCACGCATTGAAGTTGCACCACAATTCTGGATTATTGGAAGCCGTAGACCCGCCTGGTTCGAGGAACCTTGGCTGGTAGAGCGCTTGACTCATATAGTCATGTAGTATTGAAATGTACTGAGAGTATTGGGGACGGCAAGAAGACTGAAGCTCCAAGACCAGTCACGCTAGAAAACAGCATTCCAGAGAGAGCCACATGGCACCGTTACGACTTTCAGGGTTGCGGGCTTTCTGTTTTATCAGTTATCAGACATCCTCCTGCAATGCACCAGAATCCCTTTACTATCTGCATTTCCGACAGACCGAATCGAGGCCTGCAGTCGCTCGTGAGCTTCACCTCTAGTTATAGTGCACAGGCCCCGCCCACCCACACATACTTCACGGCCATCACGATCCCCACAGTCCACACACGAATCCCCAGAGCCGAGGTGGACTTTCGACCTCCAGGTGCAGCTGGCGCCCCGTGAAGGGGAGCGAGAGGGCGAGGCAGGAGCTTGCGAGCTTCCGATGCTCTAGGGGCCTTAGCAATTAGAGTTAGGATTTGGGGGTCCCATTATGCTATAGTTGCAATAAGAACCCCTCCAAAAAACAGTAATTGGAAATCATGTCGGCCCCTATATGAAGTTTTCCGGGGTGAGTCTTGGGGTTGGTTTTCATGGGGTGCGCGAAACCCGTCAACATGTGCTGCTGAGCTCCAGAGGTGCAGAACATCCGAGCTACCTGGGATGACACCTGTGCCCAAGCAGCCTGCGCCTTATCGCCGTGTTGTGTCCTGCAGCGAGTCACACGCCTTTCAGTCGAGGCCGTCCACCTGCTGAGCCGAAGCTTGAGCCCCCAGAACCGCTCTACACTTTGAATCCTTACAAGGCAATTTGGCGTTTGGGCCGTGACGGTTGAAGGTCCAGTGTTTTTTCTTCAACGTTACCGTTCCCAGACTTTTCCCAGGCCGTCCTGTGCACTGTGCACCTTGTTTGTTTACTGCTCTCGCTGAAATTATTTTACTTGTTGCACTAATTGACTCAATTGTTTATCGTTTAAGTGTTTCTTTATGGAGATGTATGCACAAAACACCCCTCAATTTCGAAAGAGCTGTTGCTTTGCCAGTTCACAAAGCCTCTTGCGGTCAAACAGCCTGTGCTGAGGCGCGGACGCTTCCACAGGTTCCATACTGCGCAGAGGCGGTCAGATGAGCTCTCATTAGGGTCTACGGGCAGTGTCATTGTATATACATATTCGTGTGTAGACCATTTGTGCAGCTAGTTGTTTATCTTTGTATCCACATAGACAGGCAGACAGGCGGGCTAGCAGACTGGCAGACTGGCAGACAGGCAGCGAGAGAGAGAGTGTGAGAGGCAGAGGCTTCCTGGAGAACAACTCTGCGAGGGAGCACTGGTGTTCAGAGGAAGCCCCAAAGAAGGGATCTCGATCCTTATCATTGCCCTAGGCCCTAATGGCACATGCGTATTGAGTAGCGCCGATTCATGTTCATCGTGCGCGGGTGATGTCGAGCTTGCATGCGACAAATTGGAGCTACGAGGAGTCCCGCCAAGAGACGCGGGTGTGCAGACCGCACGGGGCTGGGGCCTGGATGCTGCCCCTGCCTCCCACCCGGAAGAGAGAGACAGAGAGACAGAGACTCTCGCTTAAAAAACCGAGAATTTTACTCTAACGCTGAAGCTTTGGGATAGGGTTACGGGTTGTTGTTGTTTTGAACAAGATCTTGCTGTGCTTACTTTCTATTTTTTTCTAGATCTTGGGTTGTTGTCCTGATAGCGGCTTCTAACAGCGTGGGGAGTTGATCAGGACTTGGTTTTTGTGCTGTTTGCTCTGCTGAGATTTCGTGGTTGGGAGAATCAGGTTAGCAACTTCCAGCCGGAGATGCAGGGCTAGTTTGGGCTGAGGGCTTCCTGGATTTAGTGGAATGTGTGTGTGTGTGTTATATGTTGTGGAACGACCGGTATCATGCCGACTCAATAGGAGGGTTGAGGAGTTTACAAGACTTGGGTTCCGCTGAGCCGGATAACTCACGGGTTGAGATGTCAGTAGCAGCCGTGAGGCTTTTTAGGCAGTGTTCCAGCTGAAGACTGTTCGGAGAGGCTTTACGCTATGGTCTGATGGTGTAGATGGGGGTCGCCATAAACCCCAAGCCCCGACCCTTGCAAGATGAAAGCCAAAAATCCCCGGAAGACTGGAACCCCGGCCCTGGCTACTAGCAGGTAACCCTGGCAAGAGCCTGCGTGATCATGGCGGCCATTATGGATAGCTTCTTTGTCCGCGCCCCAAGTTCGAAGAGTTTCGGGTTTAGCGTTCAGGCGGTCCTGAGACGGGCGTTGCCATGTCACGGGATACTATGGCCCGAAACCCTTGTTAGCAACCTTCATTTGTTGAATCTTGAATCTGAGCCCGTTATCGTTGCATAACCCTTAGAGTAAATTAAATAGGAGTTGGGCATCTCAACCACGTAGCTGCTGCTCCGCTGCCGGACGATGGAAGTTTGTAGCATAAGAATGAGCCGGACCCGGAGCATCGGCTGCAAACTTAGTAGCCCTCTTTAGGATGTACGGTTTATGTTCTACGGGTTTGGTATTCCAGGCAGTTTGGGGTTTAGGATTCGTATAGTGGTCCTCAAATCTGATTCTCATGATCGTTCTGCTGAGTAGTGTATAGCCGGAGGAGTTTCTTCCGTCATCTACATCTACATAAGTCCTCTTCACGAACGCTTTCCGATTTTGGATAATGCTACAGCGGCTTGTGGTTTCTATGTTGTTTAAGATCCAGGCCCCCGGGTTTTGACCCAGCAGTTCGGCATCCTCTGTTCCAACCCAAAACTGCCACACATGCCTACACTGTACAACTTACAACCCCAAAGCCAAGCCCTGCTTTCATCATCCTTAGCCAGGTGTCGATTTCAACCCCTCGCCTGGCAATTTTTCATAGTGAGGGTCTAAACCAAAACGGGAAATCAGCAGTCATTCTAAAATGGATACCTCGTTCGCATCTCGAGGCTGCCTTCATCGTGCTGGCACGGCGCTTTTCCCCGTTGCTGCTCCTTGCGGCCGTGGCCAATGGTGTCCTCGCGCGCTTCCCAGACTTTTGGCGAAGCAGACAGGCAGACGGACAGATAGACAGACGAGAGATAGGTAGGTGGGCTAGACAGATATGTAGATAGTTAGATCGGCAGATGGGTCGATGGGTGGATGGGTAGGGAAATAACTAGATACCCAGATAGCTCCATAGATAGGTAAGGGTGGATAGATAGAGTGTGGCAGAGACAGAGAGAAAGAGTGACAGAGATAGATCGATAGATAGATCGATAGATAGATCGATAGATAGATAGGTGTAGGCATAGGAATCGACATAGGTATGGGTAGAGGTATGGATATGGATATGGACATATTTATATATGTTTCTGTATATATATATATATATACCCTGCACGTCCGCCCACCCCGAACACCGTGAGAATCCAAACGCACCCGTTTAACTGGTGGGCCCAGGATTTGGCATGTTTGCTCAAATACAAGCTTGATACTCAGGTTGGTTCAAGTTTCATCGGGCATGGATCCGAGCAGGAGCAAAGAATAGTCGTGCAACCCAAACACATGCTTCAAATATCTTCAAATCAAGATTTGCACGAGCAAAAAGCTTTTGGAAACTCATGCTCGTCCTTTTGCTGTGGTCGATCTCGCTGGTGCGCCTCTCAGTAGATTCCCTTTTCGATCTTTTGGATGCCTGAAAGTTTCACGCGAGAACATTCAGTAGTCTATGAGGTGCCCGTGATGCCAGTGGTTCGAGCAGAACAAGCCCTGAAGAACCGTCGGTGTCTCAATTTTGTTAGCATCGAACGCCCGAATATTGCTGCCCTTCCCCGTGTTTGGCCCAGGTCTGATAGCAGACGGAACCTGCGGATCCGCCGGTGCTTCCTCCCACCTTGCTTTGCCTGCCTTTAGCTTTAAAGTGCTGAAGTGGCATTGACATGTGCAGCGGCTGTTTCTCTCGAGCGAGAGCTAGGAATGCCGGATTCCAGGCCCAACCCCCGCCGGGTTTCCTTGTTGAAGGACGGAACCTTTGAGCCTGCAAACTGCAAGCATAACTGTGTGATGCACGTGTTCAGGAATTCTTCCGAGATCTTCTGAAGCCGGGGTACGTCAATAAAAGAATCGAGGATGGCAGGAGAGCTGCCAAGCAAAAGCTCCCAAAAGGTGAGAAGCAGGCCCAAACCCGTCATGTAATGTACGTAGATCAAACCCCAACTCCAAACTACTTGGTGCAGGCGGCTCCCTTCCTGTATCGGTTCTTGGATGTGACGGGCAAAGCGATTTCCGAAGATCAGGCGGGGCATGATCCTGATGACAGAGCATTTTCCAGAAACAACATCCGAATCAGGTTACCACCGAGCACAATTTTGGGATTATTGCAGCATATTGTGGGAGCTTCGCGGGCGACTTGCCAACCAAAAAGGAGGTGGAGGCCCCGTTCAGAATCGTTCGTCTCAATTCTAGATTCTCTTTTGGGAAAACCGTTTCATCTTTTCGATTGCAGGCCGCAGTGCTATGGGCCGGCTCTACGTTTCGGCTGAACGATGCCATCGATAGTGTTGCCCAACAGGCAGGATTGAGATACCTATCGTAAACCTCCTAGGCGGTTTCTCGACTCTTGCACGCCCAGGCTTGGGCTGAAGATGAAAGCGCCATTTTGAGGAGCTTCGCTTCCTGGGCTTGCGACCGAGCTCAGAGGAATGCCAAAGCCAGGCCAGTCCACGACTTGTGGTTTTCGTGCGAGAAGTATGCGAAGGTGTAACGATCTGGGATCCACCCATGTAAACATGACTGGTCTGCACATATGTGTGATATATGTGTGTTTGAATCCAAGCTTGGGCAGGAAAGGTGAAGAGCACGAGAAGATGCAAGCTTTGAAGCAAATCATCCAAAGCAAAAAAGAGGAGCCCACTTTGGCGAGTTTAAATCCCCCACCCAAACTTTCCTGTATGTTTCCACCAGGACATGCGGCCAGATACACAGCCGGCCGAGAGCAAGGCGGGCTTGGTTAGATTCGGGGCTATTTTGAGGGGGTTTTCCGGAGCGGCTTAGGGTCGGAACTTAAAGGATATGTAATATATGCTTTTTCGAACAAGGGTGCATTTGAGGTTTTGGGCTTGGTCGGGTCGAGTTGGAAGGAAGGGGCCAGGGCTTATGATTCAAGAAGGTAGAGTGGCTTTACAAGTCGGAAACGGGGGTTCGGGTTTGGGTTCGTCCGACATACTATATTTTAAAGCCGGAGCTTCCAATCTCAAGCCCTAGACTTCCCTATAGAGCTACACCTTAAGTTTATTGAAAGTTGATAACCCTGATTGCTTTATGTGCCTGCAGCAGTTCAAACTAAACCCTGATGCCTGGACCCCGATGCCTCAGTCTAAGACTAAACCCTAAAGCCAGTTGTGTTCAACTTAGGGATTGATTTCGGGATCTGGCCTGTGGATTCGGGCTTGAAGAACTGAACATAAGCATACATACAGTAAGCGGCTGATTTGGAAATGATATTATTGCATACTCTTCGCAGATGAGACAATACATCAGGGTAATGCCTGAGTTCTACAGTCGTACAGCTGCTGCTGTTGCTGTTGTTGCTGCTGCTGCCACCGCCAGGATGAAGCGCATGGCGACGACGACGACCACGCCTGCCAGCGAGAGGGAGAGGAAGAAGAGCCTCTAGCAGAGGATGAGTGCATGCCTGGAGAAGACATAGAAGAATCGGATAAAGAAAAGGATGGTGGTACATTCAAGGAGCTCTGTTCTGCATTGCAATCGACAGAGCAAATCTAACCGCTTCCAGATATTCTCGTTGTGCTAGGATGAAGCAGTCCAGCAAAGAAAGACTCCGAAAATCAAGAGCAAAGTACATGCCAAAGCTGAAAGCATGCTAGAAGCTTCGCAGGGGGAGGATGCAAATTTGGCTTTGGAGGCTCTGTTGCTATCTTCGTGCACTAGGGCACTAGGGTTCTGGAACCAATCACAGTAGTACGGTTGCATCTTTCGCAGAATCTGCTGCTAGGCTCAGAAGAAAACAAAAAAAGCCCTCCGAGACAAGAAGAAGGGTGCCGAAGCTGATGATGATGAAGACCCTCGCTCGCCTGATTCCGTCCCTGAGAGAGGGCGGGGGAGGGGCAGGGGTGGCAAGGGTCGGGGGAAGGGAAAGAAGAAGAAAGATGATGTTTTGAAAAGGCCGGCTGCTCGTGCGGAGCCTGAAGCCTCAGCGAAGAAGGCTAAACATGTTCCAGGAGAGGACAAGGAGGCTGACGATGAAGAAATGGAGGAGGAAGAGGAAGAAGGGGAAAATGCCCCGGAGCCACCGCAGGATAAGAAGGAGGGAGCCCAGAAGTCCCCCAAGGATAAGAAGGATGAACCCCAGAAGTCCCCGAAGGATAAGAAGAAAGATCCCCAGAAGTCCCCCGAGGATAAGAAGAAATGTCCCCAGAAACCCGAGGACAAAGACAAAGATTCTCAGAAGCCGATTGACAAGGTTGGCGGGATGCTACTTTCAGGGTTGTAGGTGAATGGGATGTTGCTTTATGGGGTGCGAGGGATTCAAGGTTTAAGGGGGCTAGGGGACTAGTTGGGTGCTATGTTCTACGAATTACTACGTTTGATAAATTCATTATATAACCCTGAGAATGATAAAACAATGCAAACCGTTTGTGTGCTAAGCTTTTTGAATAGGGTTGTGGAACTATTATTGCTTCGTCCTTTTAGGAGGGTACACGACTGAACTCCGGGAGGTCAAAGCGCATTGGGCCCCCAAGTTCCGGGAGTTGGCAAAGAAGGACGACCGTTTGGAGTTGGACGAGCTCGTGCTGACAGGATCCAAAGGGTAGAAAACTCAGCAGTACGAGTCATTGCATCCGTGTTCCAAGACTTGCAAATGTATTCGCATGAGGTCATGGACTATTCGATTGGAGGGTCACGAGACTACCATTTCCCCGAGGCCCACTCCTTTGTTGATTGTGAAGTTATTAGCCTACAGAATCCACGCAACCCGAATCTCAGATCAGGTTCACGCCATCTTCCGGACACTGGTACGTGACCGATCCTGACCCGGGCCGAATTCCCGGATTGAACCTCAAATACAAGATGGACTTTGCTGCCCGGTGCCCAACTACCTCTCGAAGTCTTACTATATCCCTACACCGAAAGCCCTGCCGATGCCGAGATCAACCAAAAGGGCGGCCTCACCATGGGATGGAACCACTTCGACAGCTTGGAGCTTTCGCCTGGCACCCAAAAGTTCGTTCGGGATTGGGGTCAGCTTGAGTTCCTTCGGGTTTTGGCTTCGCATCGCATCAAGGTGGAAGGCTGCTTTACATGCAGCTGGGTGGCAGCTGTGAATGGGACATCGAAAGAGGCATCTCCCAAACATCGTTTGAAGTTGATAGCACTCGTTCGTTATTGTACCCCGACAGGTTCTGGCAACTCCGGCAGCACGAGCATACGCAGAAGCCTCGCTCCAAAAGGACAAAAAGCCACAGCACACACTGCTTTGAGCTTGCCGGTTGTGTGCACTGCAAGCATCCACGACGACCTGTTCCGTATCAAGCTCGGGGCTCGATCTACCTATGCAAGGTTAGCAGGCATGGCTGACTGGATGTTAAGCGACCTGGCCCTGTCTCGCGAATGCTTGCTTGCATTGGCCTATGCTGGCTTTCCCAGCTTGATGTGGCTCGACCGGAATCATAACATCCAATTCCTCAACCCTAAAAGCCAAGCCCCTAAACCGAAACTTTATCACGAACCAACAGCCAACCCAATCCTTCCCCTCAGGTTACACCTTGTCGACTACATAGCCCAGAATGCAACTGGCTCCAACCGAGTTCGAGCTGAAGCCTCGGTTTTGATTGCCTTTATGTGGGGCTCCTTGTGCTCAATGGTGCCTAGGACTTATTCTGTGTGGACCTCTTCGCCGGGAAGAGGTCTATCGAAAGTGCATTCAGCCTTGGCCTTACATTTTACTTCTGCCCTTCTCTATGAAACACCATGCCTGTCAGTTTTGATCTAGGCAGTCTGCCTGATGGATAAAGCACTAGACTTTAAATTACGGGTTTCGGGTGTAAGTAGTTCTATCACTTCGTGGATCTATATTCGTTGCTTTGCTTCCGAGATGCACGTGGCCTCAAGTCGCAGGGGTCTCAGCTTTTACAATCGTTTGAGCGCTTCCAGGAAGCCGTGATCAAGATGCATGACTCAGGGACTACTTCGATGTGTGTGCCAGGGAAGAAGATGATCTTTTGACGGTGCCGGGTTCTCAATTCAGGGCCTAAGTTCTCCCACGCTGCACTAAGCGGTGATGCTGTTCTGTAAGGGGTTTGGTCTGAGGCTCGGCCTGGTCCGTGCCGTGAACAAAGTGCTACGAATCCAGAGAAAAGGCTTGCTGGCCTGTGGCCTGCCCTGCAACTCGTGGGTGTTCATGAATCGCTCCACCTCGGGGCGGCGATGGTGCATATTCGGTACACCCAAATATGCCTATGTGAAGAAAGCGAATGAGCTTTCTCCTTCTGATTTAGCAAGGCAAGGGTTGTTTGTGTCTGCCCCGAACGTACCCCTAGTGTGACCCTAATTATATAAGTTATGAACCCTAAATACCCTAAGCCCCGCACCTTCAACATAACACTCAGACTCCCAGCCCAGGTTAGCAACTCGGACCGTGCTGCTGTGTCTGTTGGCATGCATGCGGTGTGTGCACTGGACCATCGAGCAACCTTCAAGCTCCCTATTTCTTGAGTTTCCCTACCTGCACTTCGTGCGAGAGTGCTATGCTTCCTACATGGAGATGCTGACCGTTCGATTGTCAGGGTCTTAGCCACGACCTGTTAGTTGCAGAAAACTCTAGGGATTTCAAATGCACCGAAATGATAAAACCGCTAAGTTGGATGGCGACCTACGGCCATAGATCGCCCAAGCTCTCCGTGCTCGTGGGTACTCCGCTGGGGTCTTACCATTTACATCCTGGCTTTGCACCGCAGCAACACGGGACTAGGTTCTTCGAAGCTCTGTGAGGCCGTGGCTGCCATCGATGTTTGAACGCCTGACCAAGAGCAAGAAGAAGGAGCTGAAACTTTCTTCGAAGGGAGTTTCAAAGCGATACAAGCAGCAGGGTACGGGCAAGAACGTTGTGAGCCGACCTCAGATCCTGCTCTCGGTTTCTGCATGTACCAATCTGAGCTAGGGAACAGGGAGAGGGGGAGAGACAGAGAGAGAGAGAGAGAGAGAGAGAGAGAGAGAGAGAGAGAGAGAGAGAGAGAGAGAGAGAGAGAGAGAGAGAGAGAGAGAGAGAGAGAGAGAGAGAGAGAGAGAGAGAGTGAGAGAGAAAGAGAGGGAGAGCATAAGAGATACAGCTCAAGTTCTCTTTCCCCAACTCACTCAGACCGAGAATTTTCCTCGAGACATGCCCCCACACAAACGCACACCGACATGTGCACACGCACACACGCACACTCTCGCTCTCCCTCTCTCTCTCCCTCCCTCCTTTATATGTTATTCCCAGCCACCCATTCAACCGCAAAGCTCCCCGCACACACGCAACCCGCCCACCTGCCACCCGCACACCCACCACCCGCACACCCGCCCTCCGCCCCACCCGTAGCCACGCCCATCCAACCTTGCACACACACACACACACACTCTCTCTCTCTCTCTCTCTCTTGCTGAAATCTCTCTCTAGCTCTCTCTCTCTGTCTCTCCCTCTGTTTCTCCGTGTCTCTGACTGTCGTCCTGTGCCTGCATGTATATGTGTGCAAAGTGAACTTCGCTTGTAATGAGGCAGGGAGGGCCAAAGCTGAAACACACGCAGACCTACCCGGCTGGCTTTGGGCAAGCAATTGCCTCTCACCACGTCAAAGTGATTGCCTCTTGCTTGCATCCCCGGGTCTTGTGTCTGCTTTGTCTGCTGTGCATAGCATCAGAACACAAACTCGTACATAATATATGCAAATATGTGCCTAGAACAGCGACGTTTGCCACTTGGCCCCGGGTGTGAAGAAGCTTGCCGAGGCTGGGATCCAGCTGTGTCCGAAGGGTTTTGTCATGCAATACAGCCAGTTGTCCCTGCATTGGCTTTATGTGGCTTCGTGTCAAGGCCGCACAGAGCTTGCCGGTGGTGAAGCCGCCCTTTGATTGGAAGCACGCCAATCTGGGACCACTGTTTTCTTTTCTTCTTGAAGAAATAGCAGCCGGGCGATATGTGCCAGCCTTTGATTTTCCGTGACGGGTGTTCCGCCTGCTTGGCCACGATAGTGTGAAAGGCTGTGTGCAACGACGAAGTGTGTCCTGTGATTCAATGGGTGGTTGTGCAGGTGATAGCTGCAGCACTGGCTGTGAGCTTTTGCTGTGATTCACGCAGCATATCAGTTTGGTGCTGAGTTTGTGAAATGCTAGCAAAAACCACCACCGTGAAAACAGCGTGAAACCAGCGTGAAAACAGGGTGAAACCCACCGTGAAAACCGTGAAAACCACCCATATAACTGTGAAACTATGGTCGCCCTAAATTGCTAAAAAAACCCACAAGCCCAAACGCTACAGCTTCAGTCCGTGAAGTGCTCCCGCAGTTCTGAACGCATGCTTCAATTGCTGCTGGCTTTGCTATCACAGGTCTATCTTGCCGTGTGTAGGTGTTGTGCTGACCTGTAGAAGTTTCGAAGCACGTCGGCGGGATGCCAATCGACGTGCAGAAGATTTTGGAGCAGGCCCGTCAGCGGCAGAATCGGGTCGACTCCACTTCTGAGACCTCTTCGCCCCCATGCAGGAAGTGGTGAGATCCTTTGTGGTACTTGTTTGTTTGTGACACATGCAGTGCTCGAGTGGTTGAATTGAACAACCTACATGCCTACGAAATATGTTCGGTTGTGCCTAGGTCATACGACAGCAGCAAGGAAGATGCCCAGAATCCTTTCCCAGAGTATGAGGAGACGCCGCCTGGAAAGAGAACTTTCCAAGGCAAGAAAGCCGGCAGGGGCCCGCTGAGAGTCGATTCCGCTGCCACACTAGTTGTGGAAACCCCGCCGCCGAAGCTGAAGCGGCCTGGATCGACCGAATTGTCAGGATCTCTTTCGAAGAAGGTCAGGCATGCTTTGAGGAGGCCGCAAACAGTAGATCAAAAAACGGAGTCCGAAAGAAAAGCTGATGCAACAAAGGCACAAAAGAACCTCGAGGATGAGTTTGAGGAGGCTGATTGCAGCCAGGGCCAGGAGGATCCAGACACCACAGCCAACAAAGAAGCCCCCAAAGGCAAGAGAACATCCCCTAAGGCCAAGGCCAAAGCAAAGAACAAAGCAAGGGTTGCCAGCAGCAAACCCAAAGCCACCAAGCCCAACGAAGAGGCCGATGACACGCCCACGATCGAGCCCAGCAAGGACTCTGAGAAGGAGAACCAGGACCCCAGCAAGACCAAGCCCAAGAAGGACTCTGGCAAAACACCCGCGACCAAGCCCAGCAAGAAGCCTGACAGCAAAGCAAAGGCCAAGGCCACGCCCAAAAAGGACTCTGGCAAAACAGCCGCGACCAAGCCCAGCATCGACGATGGAAGCGAGACCGAAGAGCCCAGTGACAAGAAAGCTAGGTCTAGCAAGGATCCCATGCCCAGGTCTCCCAAGAGATCTCCGAAGAAAGCAGGTGCCAAGCCGACATCCCCACAGAAAAGCAAGGCAAGCAAGAACGAGCAGGAGGAGCAAAGCATGGACGAAAAGAAAAAGATAGCACACAGGATGTACATGCGATTCTACAGAAGTGTCCACAGCCGCTCGGTTGCTTTTGTTCCCACACTTAAGAATGCACTCTGATGTGCCCTCATGCTACATGACTTGCACATTATATGAATGCAAAGCAAACTCGAGGCCGCACCGCCCCCAAGGAGATCAAGTCTGCCTTCCAGCAGTCCAAGTACTGCAACATGTTTGCACTAAGTGGCCACAGGTTTCGTCACATGTGCAGGATTTGGCAACATACTCCATTTTGATTTCACAAATCCTGTTTCATGTCAGGCAAGAACAAGATGAGCAGTTTGTACGAGGACTTCCTCCAAACGGAGGGGAACTGGAGGAATAGTCTGGTGTACAAAAGCATCAAGTCCATCACCCGCAACGGACGTCGCGGCATTCGCCGCTGGATCACAAAGCGCCAAATGCTGACCGTGTTCGACTCCGCAGAAGTCGTGGACAGCATTATCGCCCGCAAAGAGACAGACGATTACCTTCGGTCTACGGAAGTCAGGGAGCACCCGGACTGCCCAGGAACGGGGGGTTGTGGTGTCGGTGTCAGTGCAATCCAAATCCTTTTCCGTGTGGCCCTATGCTGCCCAGTGCAAACAGCTTTGTGATATGTCGCAGGACTCATGCAGTACTTGGTGCTTGTCGAGGAGGAAGTGACAGACGAGGATATGGATGAGATTGAGGATATGTTCCGGATGGAGGACGCATCTTCCGACGACGACACAGACGACGAAAGCCAGGACGACGACGGCGAGGACGATGACAAGCCGACGCCGAAGAAAGGTGGCAAGGACCGGGAAGTCGTGTGTGAGATATGGTGAATGAGTGAGTGGCTGAGCGAGTGCTTGAACGATCGTGCACGTTTGTACATGTTATGCATTCATGCATGTGTGTGTGTGATTGTGTGTTCATGTAGTATTGTATTTATGAGATGCAACTGAACGGGTGTATGTTATGCTGAATCATATATTATACATATGTGTCTTGGCCGCTAGACATGTATATATACCTCATGTTGAGATGTATGCAGCTATGCAACACGCCATGCCGTGACTTCATGACCAAATCCTAAAGTTTGGCGAGGGCAAAGACAAGAAAGACAAGAAGGCTGGAAAGAAATCCAAAAAGAACAAGAAGCGAGGAAAGAAGAGCAAGAAGAATAAGGACAAAGAGGAAATGTCACCGGAGGATAAGGAGAAGGAGGAGGAGAAAGTGCGACTGAAGAAGACAAAGCAGGATGCCAACAAGGCTTGTGTGCATATATCGGATATATCGAAAACAACCCATGCTCTCACCCTTTCCCTCGTCTGCCCTCCCAGGTGATCGGCCAGCTCAGCAAGATGATTCGCGACCACAACACAAAGATTGGAGAGCTGGAAGGTTTGTTTGGGGCTAAGTCTCTCAAACTGGCAGTGGCACACACAACTCTGAACGAATGCTTCGCTCTGCCGATCCTGCCTTGTGCCCAGGAGCAAGACCGTGCAGAACGCCGTTCGGAAGGAGGTCAATGATGCCATCGCACAGCTCACGGCCTGCAGAGCAAACTTGCAGGCTGCTATCGATGGGCATCAGGAGCTCGGTTTTCCTTATCTGCTTGGCTGCCTCAACCATTTTGCTTTATCGGATGGAAAGGGTTTGGAGTCATGTAGGGGGCTTAGGGTTTTGGGTTTGTTCCTGGTCCCGACACCAAACTCCTGAGGCCAAAGCCCTGCAACACAAAACTTGGAAGCCTTAATTTCGCATTCCACCATACTTACTAGCACCCCCGAAAACAGCACGCTGGGCCCTAAGTAGTTCTAGTCTTGTCAGGAGGAGCAGATGTTGTCGATGACCGACGCCGCCAAGGATCTGATGAAGAAGATGGAGGGCTCAGTGCTTGCATTCAGCAAGAAGAAAAGTTTCTCCAAAAAGGAGAAGAAGTAGGAAGCTCGTCCGAGACGCAGCACGCGAGTGGATAGTCTAAACGGATAACCCAACCGTCTATTTCACCACCTAACCTGTGTAAGCAATGTAATAGTCCTCGTGAAAGTGGTGCTGTGTGGAGAAGATGATGCTTTACCCGGCATTGCGATATCTAATGTCGGTCTTTCGCCTTCGGCACCCCGAACTGTGCGGTGCTACAGAGTATGAACGAAACCTGCCAGTAGCCTACACCCCGTGCAAGGGGACGGGGAAATCCCCGTGCACATAGCTGTGTAGGGTAGATGCGACTTGGTGGGCCCCGCTGACAAAAGCTTCATGTGACAGCCAGCTCGCCTAGCTTTGCCTAGAAAGCCAAACGTGCAAGCATATGCGCCATTTCAATTCATTAGATCTAGTTAAACACCCATTCGCTCGCAGGTGCTCTCCCGCCTTCATCAGAAATGGTGTTCGACATGATCGACAATGTTGCTGCTGCAGCCCCTTGCCTTACACCGAATGCCGAATCGTTGTCCCTGAATAAATTCAATAACAACCCACCGTCGAACCCAAAGCCCAACCTGAACAAACCAAACCCTGGAAGGCGAGCTCCATCGGCCGCGAGGTGAGAAGTGCTAAATCCTGTGTGTCCGAAACCCAGCTGCACTAACTTAAAAATTATATCCCTCCGAATTTAATCAATTGAATGGCTCTTGATCAAACCTTAGCCGAGGACGCTGCTGGTGCTCTGCTGCCCGCCCCGCTCACGAAGATGGGATCCTTTTGCGGCAAGAACAATGCCCGTGACTTTGCACGATCCGTTCGGCTTCCCGTGGTGCTTGCTTACGAAAAGCCCCGATCTAAGCCCTTGCAGTATTTCGACCCGAACCACCAACCCGCAGAATCTGAGCCTAGCCACCACAACAAACGCCTTTAGGCCCCGCTTAGGTTTAGGGTTCACGGGGCGTGTTTGGGTTTGCCTACGGTTTATAACCTACATAAGCTCGTGTTGCTTGATCGGGAATTAGGTATCGGGTCGTTTGGCAGGCCCCTACTTACGTGGAAACCATCGTCAAGAAGAAGGCTGATTCGGAGGAAGAAGTACGTGTAAAGATTCCGGTTCTCCTCCCCCACTGCATACTGGCCTATGTGTTTGACGAGCTGGGCCTCAACATTAGTACAGATGCCCTATCCAAGTATTGGAAGCACTGCAAGCGCTACTGTCCCTGGGCTTCCGATCCCGCTTTCGATGGCACTCACATCCCTGTAACACTCTACGGGGACACGGCTCGATATGGGCAAGGCTACGATCAAAGCAAAGTGACAGGTTGCTTTTTGAGTTTGGTTTTGTGGCGGCCTAAGTCTACAAGGATGAGTCAATGGCTGCTGTGGAACCTGGAGACCGAACTGAGTTTGGGATGGAAAAGCCACAACCCCCTCTACCTTGCTGTTGTGCAATCTTTGAATGCTGCCTTTGACGGCCTGACCCCGGACAATCGACCTCTGGGTAGGAAATTCGCCGTGACACAGATAAAGGGGGACTGGGAATATCACTATCAGACCTGGAGGTTAAAGCGATGGTGGAAGACCAGGTGGTGTTGTTGGAGGTGTGATGCTGAAAATCACCACCAAGCCCGGCACCCGATCACCGACTTGTCTGATGACCCGTCCTGGGAGCAAACGCAGCTATCTCACAACCGTTTCGTGGTTGAGGGCATCGGCCAGAACCATGTTTGTGACTTTTCTCAAATAGTCTGGATGATGTAGGTCCAACTTAACATAGTAGTAATTTCTACGAAGCCAGAAGGTGTTATACTTAAGTCCGACCCTACGACGAACCACTGTGACCGAGGCCCCCTACTGGGATTACGTGGCTTTCATTTTGCAATGATTTGCCACTGCAGCTTACATAATGTCAACCTGGGAGTAGCACAGGATGCTACTGGCTCGACCTTGTTCCTTGACTTCAATACTTAGCAAAGAAGCATTTGCTAAGATATTCAAATGCAAAGCTGTGATTCCCGACTTATGATCCCCGACAACACTTCATGCTCGATCCAACTGCCTACGAATGCTAAGGATGTTCTTGGTGGAGAATGGGTATTTTGGAGACCCGGTCGCCAATTCCTTGCACAAGCTCTTGGTTGTTGCCTTCCGCGATTTTAAGACATTCCAAAGGGAAAAGGGTGTGACTTGCTCCCAAACCAAGTTTGTGCCGAATTTTGTTACTCACTTGCATTGAGCAATCGGTCTCACATATATGACATGTAAGGTCTAGAGCATAGAACTGATTCTGCAACCTGGCCCCTGCCCTAGGTAACCGAAGCCGGAAAAGCATGGGGCCCACATGGCTCATAAGGGATACAACGGTCGAGTTATTGCAATGTGGCTTGGGGATTGCATGGAAAGGGCTTCATACCAAAGAACCACGACCACCCGTGACTTCGGGCAGTGGCTTCATGAGCGACATCAGAATGAAGGGAAACCTTGGCCGGATGATGATGACATACGATTCGCCCCCATCTGTGCTGCAATGATCCTTTGAAGCTATCCAGCAAAAGCCTTGTTGATTTAATTTGAGCAGAATTAATCTAGTTATCGCAACCCGATGTAACCTCAAACCCCGAACACTTAATAAAATCTTCAATAACCCAAGAACTGAAAGACCCAAAATCCCCCGAGGCAATCGCTCTGCCAGTGGTTTGACGCCGTCGAGCGATTCCCTGTGTACCTGCTGCTCGACTTGGGTGTTCTTTGCTTGTGTTGAAATGAGAGGAGAGCTTAGCGGGATGATAAGGTTTAGTCTGTGTAGGGCCAATGTTTGTGCTTGTACAGGACGACTGCACAAGCAGATGAGATCTACGATCACGGCATGCGGTATCTTAGATACCACAACTTGCTTTGCAAGCTCTCGATGAGGCCCGCTTCTCGTGGAAAGCAGGATTCAGGGTATGAAGATCATGCCTCACCGAATGCAACACACGAGGCTTGAGAAACTACATTGGCATGTCCGCCCCAAAATGCACGAAACTTCTCTGCATTTGGAGAGTGGCTTTCTTGAGTTGGATGGTTTGGAAGCCTTTGCCCTGCCTGCTAAGTCATTTCATCATCAACTGAAAGATGTCAAGCACCGACGAGACTTGGATTGAATGCCGATTGCTTTAAAGCTTTATCCAGTTGGGTGCCCCGAAGGTTCATAATGAACAAAACTTTGCCACCCAAGGTCTCAACACACGGCTGCACCACACGTTTCGTGAAGAAGATGCTATGCGGTGGCTGAAAGGTGCCTGAGCTGATTTTGACTGAAGCACTGAATATACACCGGAAGCCCAGTACTGATGAGGGATGATGCACCCCAAGGCGTTGCACAGGCATGCGACAAGAAGAATATGGAATGCTCGATTGTGAAATACGCCCGCTTCCGCTTGGCGTCGATGCGCCGTCCCTCTAGGATGGTGGCCCTGAACTTGAGTGCAGCCCGCAGACGGTAAAAAAGGGCGGAGGCGCACCGATTCTCGAACTCCAGGATCAGCTGCTGCTGCTGCTGCCGCTGCTGCAGATGTTGCTTAGCGATCCTTATCCCTTCTACATCGAGCCCTTCGACCCCGAAAGCAAGCCCGAAGCATCCTTGACCAACATACACCGAACGCCCCCGGCCTCGAAAGCAACGCCCGAAACATCCCAGACCACAAACTTAAGCACTTATGGGCAGAATCTAAGACCAAACCTACTAGCAGTTAAATGCGTGGGTTAAGTTAAATGCGTGGGTTACTTGAACGCACCCGTTAAACCCGTGGTTTGGAAGCCTAGGGTATAGGTACTGCGCATTGGAATTGTGTTTTGTTTTCCTGTAGCTCGATAAGGCAAGAATATGTATTATTCTGGTTCTAAAGGCGGCTAAGGAAAGCCCTAAAACCTGGACCCGAGGTAGGGTTTACAATTAGAGCGAGCTGTGGGAGATGAATATAGGGGCCTTAATCCTGAGAATAGGGTTCGGGGGGTATATGATACTATAGCTTCAAACAAGGAACCCCCGAGAACCCTGTTAAATAATTTTGGTCCCTATACTAAATCCTATTAATAGCCCTGATGGTATGCCTTCTAGTCCCGTTTAAAAGGAACCCTTAAACGGAAGCCTATCTGAGGTTGCCAACCCGTTCTACGACATCGGCTTCTTCGGCTGCACTAGGGCTCCCAGCGTTCCATGGGTTCAGAGATGTTCACCCTAAGCCCTAAACCAAACGCGCACCTGGTGCGCGTCGTCCTGCCCAAGGTAGATCCTACAGTAAAGCGAGAAATGCAAGGGGCCTCCATCTGCATTTCGAGCCCAGTACTACTCACAGAAGGTACCACCTAGAGGAGTACTATAGTAAAAGTAATTACCCTAAATCGTTGGACCTTTGCTCTGGTCCGGGGTCACACTCCCGAAAAATGGACCCTCGAGTGCTCGTGTGTGCCTAAAGGGGTCGGGGCCACATTCTGCAGCAAAACAGGGCCGTTCTTTATGTGTGCCGCCACTAAACTTTCCGGTGTCCATGTGGGCCCAAAGCGGTCAAGGCCACATTCTGCAGCAAAACAGGGCCGTTCTTTTCGTGTGGCTCCACTAAACTCTTCCCTGCCCTCCGAAAATCTGGAAAATCGCTGCTGATTTTGCCTTGTTAAATTCTTTATATAAAATGTGCATTCTAATGAGGGCCACGTGCCCAAGTCGAGGTCCCCCTCTTTCTTTTCGTGTGGCTCCACTAAACTCTGCCCTGGGGCTCCTCGGTCCAGGGCTCGGAACCGTCCCTGCGCTTAGGATCGAAAAATGGACCCTCGAGTGCTCGTGTGTGCCCAAAGGGGTCGGGGCCACATTCTGCAGCAAAACAGGGCCGTTCTTTATGTGTGCCGCCACTAAACCATCCGGTGTCCATGTGTGCCCAAAGCGGTCAAGGCCACATTCTGCAGCAAAACAGGGCCGTTCTTTTCGTGTGGCTCCACTAAACTCTTCCCTGCCCTCCAAAAATCTGGAAAATCGCTGCTGATTTTGCCTTGTTAAATTCTTTATATAAAATGTGCATTTTAATGAGGGCCAGGTGCCCAAGTCGAGGTCCCCCTCTTTCTTTTCGTGTGGCTCCACTAAACTCTGCCCTGGGGCTCCTCGGTCCAAGGCTCGGAACCGTCCCTGAGCTTAGGATCGAAAAATGGACCCTCGAGTGCTCGTGTGTGCCCAAAGGGGTCGGGGCCACATTCTGCAGCAAAACAGCGCCGTTCTTTTCGTGTGGCTGCTCTAAACCTCCCCCCGATCCTCGACCCGCTCACCTCCGGGCAAAAATCGTTGCCGCCACTAAACTTTCCGGTGTCCATGTGGGCCCAAAGCGGTCAAGGCCACATTCTGCAGCAAAACAGGGCCGTTCTTTTCGTGTGGCTCTAATAAACTCTTCCCTGCCCTCCAAAAATTTGGAAAATCGCTGCTGATTTTGCCTTGTTAAATTCTTTATATAAAATGTGCATTTTAATGAGGGCCACGTGCCCAAGTCGAGGTCCCCCTCTTTCTTTTCGTGTGGCTCCACTAAACTCTGCCCTGGGGCTCCTCGGTCCAGGGCTCGGAACCGTCCCTGAGCTTAGGATCGAAAAATGGACCCTCGAGTGCTCGTGTGTGCCCAAAGGGGTCGGGGCCACATTCTGCAGCAAAACAGGGCCGTTCTTTATGTGTGCCGCCACTAAACTTTCCGGTGTCCATGTGGGCCCAAAGCGGTCAAGGCCACATTCTGCAGCAAAACAGGGCCGTTCTTTTCGTGTGGCTCCACTAAACTCTTCCCTGCCCTCCAAAAATTTGGAAAATCGCTGCTGATTTTGCCTTGTTAAATTCTTTATATAAAATGTGCATTTTAATGAGGGCCACGTGCCCAAGTCGAGGTCCCCCTCTTTCTTTTCGTGTGGCTCCACTAAACTCTGCCCTGGGGCTCCTCGGTCCAGGGCTCGGAACCGTCCCTGAGCTTAGGATCGAAAAATGGACCCTCGAGTGCTCGTGTGTGCCCAAAGGGGTCGGGGCCACATTCTGCAGCAAAACAGCGCCGTTCTTTTCGTGTGGCTGCTCTAAACCTCCCCCCGATCCTCGACCCGCTCACCTCCAAAGGGGTAGCCCGAGCAAAAATCGTTGGACTGTGCCCAAAGAGGTCGGGGCCACGTTCTGCAGCAAAACAGCGCCGTTTTTTTTTACAGCGCCGTTTTTTTCGTGTGGCTGCTAAACCTCCCCCCGATCCTAAACCCTGTCACCTCCTCGGAACCCGGATCAAAAATGGACCCTCGAGTGCTCGTGTGTGCCCAAAGGGGTAGCCCGGGCAAAAATCGTTGGACTGTGCCCAAAGGGGTTGGGGCCACGTTCTGCAGCAAAACAGCGCCGTTTTTTTACAGCGCCGTTTTTTTCGTGTGGCTGCTAAACCTCCCCCCGATCCTAAACCCTGTCACCTCCTCGGAACCCGGATCAAAAATGGACCCTCGAGTGCTCGTGTGTGCCCAAAGGGGTAGCCCGGGCAAAAATCGTTGGACTGTGCCCAAAGGGGTTGGGGCCACGTTCTGCAGCAAAACAGCGCCGTGCTTTTACAGCGCCGTTTTTTTCGTGTGGCTGCTCTAAACCATCCGGGGTCCAGCAAAACAGAACCGTTCTTTTCGTGTGGCTGCTCTAAACTTCGCCCCGGGACTCCTCGGTCCAAGGCTCGGTCACTCGCAGCGACGACAACACAATTGCGTTCGCGCCTGCTCGAATCCGCGCTTGGCGGCTCGGCGAACATACAACTTTTATTTTCCTCGGGGGGGGTATGGAAGAATAGTCCCCGGGTTTTTTCGTGAAAAAAAACCCTAAACCCGTGAAAGGTAAGAATTGGGGCGGTTTGGGGTGGGCTACCAAATGCAAGGACGGCGCCCCCCCTGCGGACACATGACCTGGGGGGGCAGCCGTGGCACTGTAAAAAACCCTAAACCCTAAACCCAAAACCCTAAACCCAAAACCCTAAACCCTAAACCCTAAACCCTAAACCCAAAACCAAACGCGCACCTGGTGCGCGTCGTCCTGCCCAAGGTAGATCCTACAGTAAAGCGAGAAATGCAAGGGGCCTCCATCTGCATTTCGAGCCCAGTACTACTCACAAAAGGTACCACCTAGAGGAGTACTATAGTAAAAGTAATTACCCTAAATCGTTGGACCTTTGCTCTGGTCCCCCTCTTTCTTTTCGTGTGGCTCCACCAAACTCTGCCCTGGGGCTCCTCGGTCCACGGCTCGGAACCGTCCCTGAGCTCAGGATCGAAAAATGGACCCTCGAGTGCTCGTGTGTGCCCAAAGGGGTCGGGGCCACATTCTGCAGCAAAACAGGGCCGTTCTTTATGTGTGCCGCCACTAAACTTTCCGGTGTCCATGTGGGCCCAAAGCGGTCAAGGCCACATTCTGCAGCAAAACAGGGCCGTTCTTTTCGTGTGGCTCCACTAAACTCTTCCCTGCCCTCCGAAAATCTGGAAAATCGCTGCTGATTTTGCCTTGTTAAATTCTTTATATAAAATGTGCATTTTAATGAGGGCCAGTGCCCAAGTCGAGGTCCCCCTCTTTCTTTTCGTGTGGCTCCACTAAACTCCGCCCTGGGGCTCCTCGGTCCAGGGCTCGGAACCGTCCCTGAGCTTAGGATCGAAAAATGGACCCTCGAGTGCTCGTGTGTGCCCAAAGGGGTCGGGGCCACATTCTGCAGCAAAACAGGGCCGTTCTTTATGTGTGCAGCCACTAAACCATCCGGTGTCCATGTGGGCCCAAAGCGGTCAAGGCCACATTCTGCAGCAAAACAGGGCCGTTCTTTTCGTGTGGCTCCACTAAACTCTTCCCTGCCCTCCAAAAATCTGGAAAATCGCTGGTGATTTTGCTTTGTTAAATTCTTTATATAAAATGTGCATTTTAATTAGGGCCAGGTGCCCAAGTCGAGGTCCCCCTCTTTCTTTTCGTGTGGCTCCACTAAACTCTGCCCTGGGGCTCCTCGGTCCAGGGCTCGGAACCGTCCCTGAGCTTAGGATCGAAAAATGGACCCTCGAGTGCTCGTGTGTGCCCAAAGGGGTCGGGGCCACATTCTGCAGCAAAACAGCGCCGTTGTTTTCGTGTGGCTGCTCTAAACCTCCCCCCGATCCTCGACCCGCTCACCTCCAAAGGGGTAGCCCGGGCAAAAATCGTTGGACTGTGCCCAAAGGGGTCGGGGCCACGTTCTGCAGCAAAACAGCGCCGTTTTTTTACAGCGCCGTTTTTTTCGTGTGGCTGCTAAACCTCCCCCCGATCC